TTTCTCCTGCGTTTCTTTTAACATTGTGATACGCGTATTTAATTAAGAATTAAATTAGGTGAATTTTAAGATGTATTTCATTTATATACATAGTCAGGTGAAAAATGGGCATCCTTCTTTGGAAAACATTCCAGCCCTGAGGGTGTCAAAATAGGGGTTGTATTTTTTAATGTAACCTTAGTCCACAAAGAAGGGTACAAATATTAATTTTTAATATAAAGCAAAAGCAGACTTCAATAAAGTAAAAAGAATAAATTAATTTCACATTCTGATGTCAGGGCTTTAATTTTTCTTGGTTCATTGAACTCAGCTTCTACTTTTATTTAACGTTACTTTTTTTTTAGAAAACTGAAGTGAGAACTGAACTTACAGTTCACCTGTAGTGTGGCACCAAGTGGCTACTGCAGTGCATGGACACCTGCAGTTAAACAAGGGAGGCTACAAAAGCATTGTCACCTCTGGGGACTACGATGGAATGCCTAATAGTCTGTAATTTATTTTGTAACAATATTATATATTATCATATGATTATAGTATCATATCATGGAGCCGTGGTAGTTCAGATGTTAAGCGCTCGCTGTAAATTTCACATTACGCCAGGTAAGAAATAAATCTATACGTATAATAAGTCTGTAGAAAAATTGTGTGTTCAGTTCACGCAAAAACTGCTGAACGAATTTTCCATGAAATTTTGTATGTAGGCAGTAAATGGCCGTGTACAACATATATGCAACATTTTAACCGCTTACTTACTTGAATTTATAGAAAATTATGCTAAATTTTCTATATAAAATGAAGATGGCTCATTTGCCTCCCTCCGTGGACTATTCGGATCATACTTCTACCAGTTTAACTACCATAAAAAAATATTACATTCTAAAATAGTTGCTTAGTTTCATAATAATCGGTTTAAGTATATCCTTCAGTTTCTTATACCAAAAAAAAAAAAACTCAAAGCCCTACTTAAAGTTTTATATTCTAAAAATGCTATAAATCAGTAATAGATCTCCGTGGAAACCACTGAATTGACTAATATTTCTCATATTTTCAACAATTTTTTATATATTTTTATCCTTTTAACCAAACAAATGACGGCTGTTATCTATTCAGTCAGTTATGTGATTTGTAAAAAAAGTAATTGTATTTATTAGATTTTTTAGTTACTTTATTATTTATTATATTTATTATTTATTATTTGTTTTATTATTTATATATTATTATTTTTTTATTTTATTATTTATTACATTTGCTGTAGAGACTATCGGTCCGTGCGGTCCAACCGCGGCTGGCCGTTGCTGCTGGTGATAAGGGGGCTGGTTCTTTTCTCGCTCAAAGGCTAAGTATAGCCATTCAGCGGGGAAACGCCAACAGCGTTCTTGGCACGATACCGCGGGGAGTAGGACTATATGATAATTTAAGTTTCTAGTTTTAGTTTTTTTTATTATTATAGTTTGTAATCTATACAAATAAATAAAATTGAAGTGTCTGTTTGTAATGTCAAAATTACAGCTTTTTACTAAATGCATATGAATGTAAATACGGTACTAATAACAAAAATACAATTTTAAAAGTTTTTGTCTGTCTGACTGTCCGTCTGTCTGTCTGTTTGTTCCGGCTAATCTCAGAAACGGTTGGACCGATTTTGACGGGATTTTCACTGGCAGATAGCTGATGTCACAAGGAATAACTTAGGCTACTTTTATTTTAGAAAAAGAATAAGGGTACCGCGCAAAAAAATAACACGCGGGCGAAGTCGCGGGGAACAGCTAGTATTGTATAAGATCATATTGTATTTAAAATATGAATATGAATTTCACGGATCTCTATGTGACTGTTGAAATAAGGTAAATATTTTATTTAAAAATATATTTTGCTGTTAAAATTGTAGATAACAAGGCACTTTGACCATAAGCATTACTCATTTCACATATTCTCAAAAAGAAAAGTAGCATTTCAGATTTTGTAACCAATTGTCGCTTCCGTGGATTTATCTACCGTGGACTATATATCCATAAGAGAGACAAATCTCAACAGAAATGCATGAGAAATGTGCTTTTAAGATAGTCTGTGGATCTGATTGGTCCTCAGATTGGCACCAAGAAGAAATACCACTTTGATTGATAGAAAAAGGAAACGGAGAAAACAAAAAAAAATCAATGACAAGGAAGAGTGAAAGAAAAAACAGAATCCTGTTGCTTTGGAAGAATACAAGCGAAAGACTGTGAAAGATGTCATAAAAAGAAAGCAGGAAATGATGAAGACATCGCGAGTACAAAGGATTTTGTGTCGAAAATCAACAGAAAAGTCAAAATTGACAAAAAGAGCTGAAGTTATTTTTAACACACCATTATGTCCATTATTATTGATTCTTTATCTACTGCTTATTGCGTTCCTATCTAAACATGTGCTGTATAATTTTTTCATTGCAATGTGGTCAAGATGACCATTGCAGAGATTATGAAATGAGAGTAATTCAAAATTTTGCACCACAGGTATCTGAGGGTGATGAGCGGTTGTTATCGGATTCAGTTGACACTATAACGACAAAAACGAAGGAGGCATTTTGATATTGGGTATTCATCAGACAGTGAGTCAGTGAGAAAATAGAAGAAGACATAGCCACAGTTAATTTGAATTAAACTTTACCTAAGCACGCTACCTCTACTAATGCTTTTAACTATCCCAGAAGCGATGATGAAACATGCTTTAATATTATAGCTGCCACATCTTTATACGTTAATTTTTTTAGAGGACAAGGGTGACAAACGAGCATACAGTCCACCTGATGGTAAGTGGTTGCCGCGGCCCACATACATCTACATCTGTCCTTGATTACGAATCAAAATGCAGATGCGTTGTCACTTGCGAGTACTAAGAAAAAGAAAGCCTCATTTCCAGTAAAAAGGGTCTCCGGTTCTCTGCACTTACCATACGAAACACAGCAGTGTTAAGATGCTATTTTACGTTCGTATTCTGTGAGAGCGTGGTCTTTCCGCGGTCGAAATGACCAATCCGTGCTAAAACCATAATATAGCTGCAGCATGGCTCTACCACGTAAAAGATACATATAAGTTATTACTTTAAAAAGAAATTTACGAAGTTATTTTTAAAGTTAGAAACTTTAACCTTAAAGTATATAAGTAATATATATTCATCATAGGATAGTGAAGCAGCAGGCTGGATCTTACAGAATTTTAATGTTAACAGCAACAGTGCTTAAACATTTATACGTGGTAGAGCCATGCTGCAGCTATATTAGTAGTATAGATGTAGCACGAATGGGTCGGCTCGACCTGGGAAGGACCACGCTCTCACAGAATACCAGCGTAAAATAGCAGCTTAACACTGCTGTGTTTCTTATGGTGAGTTTAGAGAACCAGATACCATTTTTACTGCAAATAAGGCATTCCATCTTAGTCCTCACGGGTGACAACACATCTGCATTTTGATTCGCAAACGAGGATAGATGTAGATGTCTATGGGCCACATCAAACACTTACCATCAGGTAAACTGTGTGCTCATTTGTCACCCTATCCTTTAAAAGAAATCTTTAAACAGTGGCTTAAGTCTCACATGTGAATTAAAGAGAAGAGAAGAACAAGAAAAACAGACATAAGAAACACGTACAAGAAGTTACATTCATTTCTGATAGCAATGATGAAAAAAATTGTTCGAATATAGTCTTACTTTCCTTAAGAAACTTTAGAAACACTACAGAAATGATTATCTCTTTTTGTGGTCAGACTGATAATATTTTTTTACGGTTCTATTTCAACAAAGTTGTGTATAAAGAATGCAAAATCAAGGTACGGTGATAGTTTTGTAACCTCTTTTGTAATTTGAATTTCATATTTAGTTTTGTTTTATAGCTTATAGCCTTACCTTCTGTGGTCCTGGTGGTATCTTCTGTTATTCTATTTTTTAAACATTTTTACAAAAATATCTCATTACCTGCCATGTATGTTTTTTTTTATAGAATAAGGGTGACAAACGAGCACACAGTCCGCCTGATGGTAAGTGGTTGCTGTGGCCCATAGACATCTACATCTATCTTCGTAAAATAAAATGCAGATGCGTTGTTAGCCGTGAGGAATAAGATAGAATGGCTCTTTTCCAATAAAAAGGGTTCTCTACATTCACCATACGAAACACAGCAGCATTAAGCTACTATTTTACGTTGGTATTCTGTGAGAGCATGGTCCTTCCCCGTTCGAGCCGACCCATACGTGCTACAACTATACTATTAATATAGCTGCAGCATTGCACTACCACGTATAAAATAATAATATGTTTAAGTTTAATTGTTTTACATACAATTATATCTAAAAACAAAGCATACAATAGTGTTTAATTTTCAAAAATTTTCTTTGACCCATATTAGAATGACCCAAATATTCTAGAAAAAATTACGCCATTAATGTAATCAACAGATAAATTTATGTAATTTTCATAGTTTTATGAATTATTATTTGAAGGTTTCGTTATCTAATCTGCTTTAGGAGTAGCCCATGGCCGATATTTGCTTTCAATAACCCGGATAATAAGCAATATTACACGGTAAGATATTGCTTACCTGTACGAGTGTTAATAATAAATAAGTCCACCGCTGAGTATATGCCTCCCCCATATATTGTCTCTTAAGGGGATTTAACCATAGTTCCTACGCTTGGCAGGTGGGTTGGCAACCGTAATTTTTTTATAATTTTAATTCTTATAACAATCAGAAAGATGCTGCCGCTCATCTCCTGTTTACCTCTGTCGCCTGTCGACACTCACAAAACGATATTGCTTATTGGATACGAGTATTCTTACACCTTTACATCTTATCCGGTTTATAATTATATCGCTCGCTTAAAGCATGTTCAGGATACTGATTAATTAATTTAGGTGCTTGAAGTGAACTTAAATAAATTGGAGAAGAAGAAAAAATAAAAAGGGTATGGTATTTTATACCTGAATAGGCCGTAAATATAAAAATAAATAGTAAAAATTTACATACCAGTCAACATCATTGCTTCATCGAGCGTAGCAGTCAAGCCAGCTGTAGTCCCTTTCTCAATCTTTCCATTCGCCGTCATTTTGCTGTCTGCAAATAGAGATCAAAATAATAACCGTGAAAAGGGTGTCCTGTTCTTCTCGTTCTACTTTAAAAACGTCACATCACTCACACTAGAATTTTTTCCTGTGTCGTGAAATCTTACGGCTTTTTGTAAACGTTACGGCTACTAACCGAAGTGCGGATACACGTAGGTTTAGCCGGTTACAACTAAATGCAGCCGATTAATTTAGGCATCATCAGCGTTATAATCATAACAACTGTGGCCCTGAGCCACCTGCATCTAACCTCCAATTCAGGGGTATTCCATATATAATTTATAAATAAGATAAATTTTTGCGGCCACTCTAGCCGTACTTTAACTTACTGTCGCTATACGCCCTTTCGTGTTTTTCCGAAACTAGTACACCTGAGTTTAACCAACGGCAGTTAGCTAAGCCTAGTTGTATCCACGCTTCGGATTTTATGTGTAACATATTATACATAAATAACACAAGACCACACATTTAAACTTGGAACAATCTATTTATATATGTCACTACTAGAAGCTGAAGTACAGTTGCGCATCGGTTGGTTAAACTTCGGTGTATTCGATTTATTCATGGTTAAAAATGACACGGGTGACCGGTTGCTTTCGGGTAAAACTTGGTAAAGTTCAAATAATAATTAAATCGACTATATGTCCTATTAATTTTATCAAAAATATGAAAACACCTGTCAAATTTTATCAGCGACAGTCATGCTGGATAAGGAGAGTCGTGACAGCTAAGGTGAGTCGTGATAGCTAAGGTGAGTGGTAACAGCTAAAATGAGTCGTTGTAGCTAATGTGAGTCGTGGTAGGTAAGGTACGTCGTAGTAGGTACGGTGCGTCGTGATAGTCAAGATGAGTCGTGGTAGTGAATGCAATCTGCAATCTATTTTGGCAAATAATACTCAGTTTTATTCTACAATGGCATACTGGTGCGCTGAATTCAAAAGCGGCAGAACCGCTTGAAATGACGACACTCACTCTGGGTGGCCAAATACGGCCGCTTCGCAAGAAAACTTTTAAAAAAAATCGAAGAATTTTTCAAGGTAGATCGACGTGTAACCATCCGTTATTTAGCTGAAACTATAAAGCTTTCCCTTGGGACAATTCAGTTTATTTTAACTCATACCTTATAATTAAAAAAGGAGGCCGCGTGCTATATTCCTCGACTATTAACAGACGCCCACAATAAAGCAAGAGTTGATATTACAAAGCTAAGTTTAGCAACAATTTAAGAAGATCCAGATTCTATTTGCGCTCGTTTCGTAATTGTAGATGAAACGTGGATACACCATTTTGACCCAGAGACGAAAAACCGAACCGAAGATGTGTGGAAAAGACAAGAAATTCAAGGCGTCTGTGTCCGCTGGAACAATAAAGACCTCTGTCTTCTGGGATGCGATGGTATAAAAATGATAATAATGATAATAATGACCGACTATTTAAGTAAAGTGCCGTGTAGTGGCGGTTAAGAATATCCACTACCCCATATATTCCCGTGGGTGTCGTAAAAGGCGATAAAGGGAAACAGGCAGGAGATGGGCAGCAGCATCTTCCTGATAACAGCAAAAATACAATAAAAAAACTGCGGTTGCCAACCCGTGACAACCTCCAAGCGTGGCAACTATGGCAAATACCCCCCAAATGGATAAAGTTACTAAGAGACGGCCCCCAGTCCCCGGCGGCCCCGCTATTCCTGGCTACGGTGGCGACCATGGTAACGGCGGGGCAGGGGGTGCTAAGAATCACCGGTGGAGGTTCGGTTGCCACCTACGACGACTCGACCTGGCAACATACAACGCACGCACCCTGAGGACTGACGAGAAGATTGTGGAGCTGGAAGAAGAGATAGACAAGTTACGCTGGCATATTATAGGATTATCCGAAGTCCGAAGAGAGGGGGAGGAAACGGTAATCCTCGAATCCGGCAACTTGCTCTATTACCGGGAGGGCGATCATCTGTCCCAAGGAGGTGTCGGATTTATCGTCCACAAGTCTCTCGTTAACAACGTTGTAAAGATTAAGAGTGTGTCGACGAGGGTTGCGTACCTTATACTCAGAATCACTGAAGGTCATACAGGTTTACGCACCAACCTCAGCACACCCCGATGAGGAGGTGGAGGAAATGTATGAGGATATATCTAGAGCCATGCATTCTTCAAAACCCAATATACGGTGTTAATGGGAGACTTCAATGCAAAACTAGGCAAATCTACCAACGGCAACGGAACCCAAGGGGCCAGCAGCTGGCCGGCTTCATAGAGAAAGAGGGACTCTTTATGATGAACTCTTTCTTCCAGAAGCGGCCCCACAGGAAGTGGACCTGGTCGAGCCCCGACGGTTCGACAAAAAATGAGATTGACTTCATTATGACGACCAGACGACAACTGTTCAGTGATGTCTCAGTGATCGCGAGGGTGAAAACCGGCAGTGATCATCGAATGGTTAGAGTCACACTGAATCTAAACGTTAAGTTGGAGAGGTCTCGTCTAATGAAGTCAACGCTCCATCCCCCTCGTGCTCTGATCCAAAGTCCCAGAAACCTTTCAGCTCATGTTACAAAACCGTTTTCAGTGCCTAGAAGACTGCAATGAAGTGGACGATATGAATGACAAGCTCGTGAAACTGTCCATGCAGTCAGAGCTAAGTTCTGCAAGACCCGCCGCAGAAGAACACAAAAACTCTCCGATCACACTCTTAATCTCATGGCTGTTAGACGGGAGATGAAGCTACATTCTTCAACAGATTTGACAGCATACAGGCAATGAACAGACAGATCTCCAAATGCATGCAGCGGGACTTACGCAACTTCAATACAGCTCGTATTGAAGAAGCAATCGAGCGGAACCAAGGCTCCAAAGTCTTTGCCAGAGATCTGTCTGCCAGAAAGAGCCAACTGTCAAAGCTGAAGACAGAATGTGGCAGCATCGTTTCCGGGGCACCTGAGATTTTGAGTGAGATTGAGAGGATCTAGGGCAGCTGTACACGTCATCGTTGGAGCCACACACGAGTGTGAGTAACGATCCAAGAGCGAATCTTATCCGACATTATTCCGATGATATCCCGGACGTCAGTCTGAGCGAAATTAGAATGGCTCTCCAGCACCTTAAAAACGGCAAGGCCCCAGGCGAGGATGGAATTACAGCGTAGCTTCTGAAAGCGGGTGGAAAACCAGTACTTGAAGTCCTTCAGAAGCTCTTTAATCCCGTCCTCCATGGTGGCATTACACCGGAGGCGTGGAGCAGAAGTGCGGTTGTCTTGTTCTTCAAGAAAGGCGACAACGCTCTCTTGAAGAACTACAGACCGATTTTCCTTCTGAGCCGCGTCTACGTGCTGTTTTCGAGAGTTATTACGAATCGTCTCGCGCGCAGACTTGACGACTTCCAGCCTCCCGAACAAGCCGGTTTCCGAAAAGGCTTTAGCACCATAGACCACATACATACTCTTCGGCAAATTGTACAAAATTCAGAGGAGTACAATTTGCCACTATGTCTGGTGTATGTGGACTATGAGAAAGCCTTTGATTCCGTTGAAATTTGGGTTTTTAATTCATTTATTATTTACATAAACACGACGCCCTGCACTTCGCCTGTCAGTACGAGGCTGCCGCTCGACTATGGTTATAATATCGTGGTCACTACCACTGCTTTGTGGCATTCCTTGGGGGAGGCCTGTGTTAAGCAGTGGACATTTGAAGAGCTGTTAAGATGATGATAATGATGACGATGTCCTTATTAAATCTTTTAAAAAATATTTTTGCTATCTTCCATTATCCTATATCATCCCGTGGGTGTCGTAAGAGGCGACAGAAGGAAAAAAAACCAGATGATGGGCAGCAGCGACTTCCTGATAAAAACTAAAAAATTTAAAACTGCGATTGCCAACCAGCATGCTAAGCCTTGCAATTATTCTCATATGAAATCTATGGGGAGACCTATATTCCATATTAGACTGTAATAGGCTTACAGCCTTAACGGTAACAGTAAATAATATTAAAATTGAGTTAACAAATTTCAATACTTAATTTTTTTTTGTATTTAAAACGAGTATTAAAATTTTTTCAATAATAAAAACTATAATTAAAAAAAACTAAAACTAGTAAATTAACTACTAACTTAATTAGTAACTAGATACCTGGTAAGTTCATTTCATATATGACTTTCTAGGACCCCAAACAATAGAAGACGGTCGATATATTCCAAGTTCAAATTGATTATCATATTTGTGATACGATTAAATAGACAAAAATGTGCTATTTTTATTATGTGAATGGCGAAGTCGGCAAAGGACTCTAGAGTCTAGACCTAGGCCTACGCGGAAACACGTCAATCAAACTGGCGATATACTAACTGACGACCATGTATAATGACACGAAGGAGACGAGAGAGGAGAGTCAGGGTCGTGTCAAATGGAAGTCCGTAGTATTATGTATTTATTTAATATTTCACATTGTTTTCAGTAGTGATAAGTTGTATAATGAATTACATTATTTTTCAACTGGCTTCTTTTGATTGCTGGTACATTTTGAGACTATATCGGGACTTCCCAAACTTTTAAGGTAATGGAACACTCACCAAATCCCTTTTATTTTATGTAACCACACATCAGAAACAGAAACAGAAACTTTTTATTCAATATAGATTATAAATAATACTTATTGAAAGTCACTCTTTTGTTTGATTACCACTGGTTCGGAAAAAACCTCTGTCCTGGGAAGAATCAGCAAGAAACCCAGCGGGACTTTTTTTTTTAAATAACAGCTTACAATCATGATGTTACACAAATTAACAACACAACAAATTAGAAATAGCTTGGTAGCGATCACCTCATTTCCAGGGGTTATTATCATCCATAAATTCCTTAATATTATAATAACCCTTTTTATACAAACTTAGTTTAATAAAGTTTTTGAACTTTGAGCAGGTCAAACTTTGTATATTTTCGGGAATTTTGTTGTAAAAGTGTATACATCGCCCCAAGAATGAATTACTGACTCGATGG